CTGGAGGGGCGATGGGACGGGGTGGAGAGGCGGAGAGGCAGGTTGGTGTGAGGGCGCAGACGCCGGAGGAGTTCCGCGGGTGGTTTTTGGAGATGATGAAGAGGCGGGAGAGGAGGGTGGTGAATAGTATGGTCCAGAGTAGGGTGGGTTTTCTTTTCCCTTTGCTTGTCTTGTTTGGGTTTGTCGCGTGATGTCGTGCTGATTGTGGGTGTGCAACGGTGACAGGGCTCGCTGACTCTCGGGGTTGATGCGTCGTCCATGATTGAGGTTGATGAGGATGCCGGGGAGGTGTATTTCCATATTCCCTCGCCCAGTTTGTCTTCGTATGCTGTCAGATACTCTTTCAAGGCGCCGCTTCCCACGTCGAAGGTACTGGTCGGAAAAGAAGAGGCTGAGGAGGAGGATGAACAGCCTGATGGTGAAGCGACTCGGCAGAAAGTCCATTCATACGAGGAGGCTCAAGGGCCTGAGATTACGTTCAATGCGGGTATCTCTGGCAATCTCCGACGCTCTTTTCGTCAGGTCCGATTTCAGATTGAGGGAGGAGAAATAGAGACGCGAGCTGTATGTCCAGATACACACGACCTTCCGCCATCGTGTTGAACTGTTCTCTAACTGTTCAGCAGGTTCCTCTGCCCCTGTTCATTGCAGCAAGAGACATCAGTTTGGGCGCCGGCGTAGCTCAACGCTTTGGAGATGTCGCGAGCATGAAAGGTATTCTGGCCAAACGCCCTTTTGCATTTCTGCGAGACTCGGCCTTTGCGTTGAACGCGGCACTCCTGCCGACTCCGTTGTTGCAGGCAACCATTGTCAAAGCAATTCAGCCCATTCCTGGGACGCAACCGTTCCACGTCAACGCGAGCGCCATTGTCACCAACTCGCTCCTAAAAACGCCACCGATGCTTGGACTACATGTGACAAAGGAGATTGGTGAAAGGAAGCACGCCTTCTGCTCTTGGTCCAGCGGTACCATCCTCTGGCCAGAGGTGCTGAAGGTTTTATTCAGTCCGATTGCCCGCCTTGACCTCGATCCAGAGTCGGCCATGTCAATGACCGCTTTTGTCCAACAGAGTCAATTCCAGTTGGGATTCCTCTCTGTTCCCAAGCAAACCAGGAATACAATGGTGATGGATGACGACGATGACGAGGCGGAGGAGGAGGATGAAGAGGAGGCTGGATTTAGACAGATCCGCAAGAAGGCGCGCAGCGAGGCAGATGCTGCCGAGTCCTGGCAGACGGTGGTCACTGCATCACCTGAAGGAGCAGGACTGTCCCTCGCATATGCTCGGAATGTCTTCAATGGCAAGGCAGCCAGCGAGCTTGCTCGCTCCGAGTGGAGCTCCGAGGGCCATTATTCTTTGCCGTCCGCGAGCGAGCCTCGGTCTGTGCGAGTTGAGGTCCGGAGCACGGTGAATATGGACCTGTCCCTAGCCTGGAACATTTCGGGCACGCGCCAGGTAGGCAGATTCACCCGCATGGGCTTCGGAGTTGGTGTCGAAGGAGGCCGTGGCCTCGTCATGACAGCCTCATGGAGCAGACTCGGGCAGAAGATCAGCCTCCCCATTGCGGTCTGTCCGATGGATGTCGTTAATGCAGATGCCGCGGCGCTTGCAGTCATCTTCCCCTGGGTGGCTTACTGCGCACTTGAATTCGGATACATCCGCCCTAGAGAACGGAGGCAGCGTCGCCGCGCCATTGCTCGGCGGCAAAAGCAGCTGAAGAGGTTGATTCCGAAGAAGAGAGCAGAAAGTCAACAGGCAATCGAACTCATGGCCGAACAAGTACACCGCCGGCAAGCGCGGGAAGAAGAGCAAGGTGGTCTGGTCATCACCAAAGCTGAATACGGCCATTACCCATCGCCGAAGAAGTGGGCAAATGACAGCGCTAAGGATTTGGAGATCGCTGATGTGACGATTCCGGTGGCTGCGTTGGTGGATCGCGGCCAGCTGGTGATAACAAAGGACATTGTCAAGGTCAGTATCGTGCGGTAACGTGGTCCTGGACTTCACTAACCGTTCATTAGTTCCAAATTCTTGGCTTCTACGATCCCGCGCCTCTTCTCCCGAAGAAGCTGAAGATTTGGTATACTTATCACGGAAAAGAGCATTTCGTGGAAGCAAACGATTCGGAGGGCGTTGCATGTCCTATGCGCGCGCATCTGCTTGGTTGAATGAGATCTGATCGATCTTACTTGACTTGATGATTTCGCTTAATCCCTTAATGTTCACTGTCATATTGTCTCTACTCCTATAATCATCGCCTCCTCTCATCTCCCTTCGCGATTTCACCCTCCTCCCCGCTCGAATCATCTTGTCGCCATCAAGATGGCTTTTTCGATATGGTCATATCAAATTTTGGAATACCCATAGACGTGCCAATCATGTTCGGAGGGGATCGTGAGGCTGGTCACTTTGTTCTTGGTGTCGTTGGTGTACTATGTTGTACAATATCACAATTAAATAGTTATAGAGATTTTCAGTAAGTGTGTACAAGTGTATATTCATACAAGTATTTCTATAACTTCTGGCTATCAGTCATGCCTTCTCGATTGTCCAGAGCAGTTTTCGAGTTGAAGATCATAAAGAGATAATATGTGAAGGCATTGGCGCGCGTCGCGATGTGCCCAAGTACAAAAAAACAGGATCACCTCCTCTATTCACTAGCGGCATGTGAAACTAACTATAGTTGCAACGGATCAATCTCAAGCAACAAGTGAAAGAAGTACCTGAACTTTGGCGTCAGGAAATTTGAGGCGATTCCTGTACAGACGGACAGCGACTACAGGAAGCCACGCGAACCACTCGCGCACTCCCGCCCGTCGGCCGCCAAACGAAAAGCAATAATCATTGCCATCCAGAAGTTCGCCCATCCCACGTCACTTACCCTTTCCACCTTGTCCCCCTTTCGACAATGACATCCATTGCAGAGGGTCTTTTCAAGTCTCTACCAAAGCCGAAATATACCGGCGAGGATGAGGAGGTGCCTCAACATGCCCAGCCCCGTGGTCCGCGGATCGTGGGCGCCGACCAGATCGATCAAAGTCAGATTGTTTTGAGGGTAGGTTATTCTGTCTCTACGCTTCAGACTTTTTTTTCCATTTTAATTGTATGCTGACGATTTTGGTCTACGATGTACAGAAAACCGGTCCTCCCCCATATGGTAACCGTACAGGATGGCGACCTCGAGCACCTGAGGATTTCGGCGACGGTGGCGCGTTCCCCGAGATTCTGGTCGCACAGTATCCCCTCGACATGGGCCGCAAGGGCACTGCTTCGACATCGAACGCGCTCGCGGTGCAGGTCGATGCGGAGGGAAAAGTCAAGTACGACGCGATCGCCCGCCGGGGTCACAGCGAGAACCGGATCGTCCATGCTTCCTTCAAGGATCTGATTCCGCTCCGACAGCGGGTGGATATGGGAGAGGTCTCGCTAGACCGTCCCTCGGAGGAAGAGGTGCAGGCGCAGATGGAGAAGACGAAGAATGCGCTGGCGAGTCTGGTCGAGGGTGCCGTGGCGGCGCAGAAGCCGAAGAACGTCAAGGGTGGTCGGAGGGCAGAGCCTACGTTTGTCCGGTACACGCCTGCCAACCAGATGGGGGATACTACGCGGAAGAACGATCGGATCATGAAGATCGTTGAGAGACAGCAGGATCCCATGGAGCCGCCCAAGTTCAAGCACAAGAAGATCCCCCGCGGCCCGCCCTCGCCACCCCCGCCCATTATGCATTCTCCACCCCGAAAGCTGACGGCAGAAGACCAGGAGGC